TGAAGGTGGGTTTGGTAAGGTTTATAAGGTAAGATTAAATCATAATATCTTTCCCTCCTCACATATTTATGTAATCAGCCTTATTTTTATTTATCTAGAAATCCGTATCCACGCATGTTAATATTAGAGTGTAAACAGGGAGAGCTTCAAAATGGAAAAATAATTGCCGTGAAGAAGTTTAAACAGTTAACAAATCCAGATGATCAGCAGAAGCTGTTTGAGAATGAGGTGCTTCCTCTTATGCGTCTCAGGAACCCAATATAGTACGATGTGTAGGATATTGTTCCGAAAAAAGCAGCGTGGTTGTCAAGCACAAAGGAATTTTTGTTCTTGCGGAATCGCACGAGATGTTACTTTGCTTGGAGTATCTGACAATGGGCAGCCTTGATAAACAGCATCTACTCAAGTTTGAAGTCGTACGGATTAGTTGTAGTCTCCTCCTCTCGGATGCTTCCAGGATGTATCCCAGGATCCCCTTTGCCATGATCGATGCGGTCAGGCCTACTCCTGTCTCACGGAATTCATCGACTACCTAGCGAGCATCATCTCTTGAAGCCTGATCAAGTTCTTCTCCAGGTTAGTCGTAATCTTGTCCTCCAGGGATCCTGTCCTCTAAATTTGCTGTGAACTGTATTTTTTTATAAATATAAAATATTTTGTTTGTTCGTTTTTTTCAAAATACGTGCCTCTGGCATATGTGCGTCTCTACTAGTTGTATAGTATTTAAAACAGGAATCCTTGAACAGGCTTTGGGCCGCCCATGATAGATACAAAAAAATGTGGCAATTATTAACAAATTTGAGGTTCCTAAAATAAGAAACGTCTCCATGATGCTATATGTGTTTTTTTTTGAACGGTACTACTCCAACCGTTCCGAATTATAGGTCATCTTGGTTCTCTCTCTATATATATATATATATATATATATATATATATATATATATATATATATATAGAGAGAGAGAGAGATATGACATAGCGTATATCTAGAAGCATAGCAAAAGCTATGAACTTAGAAAAAGCCAAACAGACATATAATTTGGGACAGATAGAGTATATATATGTAACGAGTGGGCTATATCACATTTAATTTGTGTTTACATGACATGTCAACTTTTATACTATCAGTTGCATCGACTAAACGATAGCCTGTTATTATTGTAGTATATTATTACAAAATGAATGTAGCCTTCCCCTTCCCCGGTCGCAGATCCGGCTGGTTAGGGTTTGACCGAATCCACTGTCTCGATCCAAATTGGATCTTTCTCATCTACTTCTAAATAGCTGCTACCTCTAACTAGATCTACAAACTAGCAACCACGGCTCTGGTGCCATTGATAGAGGCACATTCATTTGGTTGGTCTTTGGTCTTTGGTTTAATTTGGTGGTCTTTGTTTTTTGTGAGAAAAAAACATTGTCGGGCTAGTTTAATAATTTGAAACCAACAAGCAATAACAGTGAGAAAGTTCTAAACCTCTAGGTGTAGATCTAGCGGGTATGAACAGCTCGTTGGTGTACCTTGGTAGCTAGTTCGCCCGCGGCCGCCGTCACGGTGGCCGCGTCGTGCTGGAGTAGTGGTGGCCGTCACGCGCGCGCTAGGCCTTCGTAGGTGCAGGCACAGTGCAGTGACGACGATCAAAAGCATCCCGCACTGCAGAGGCGACGGTGGAGTCGGTGGCGGCTTCCCGTCGCTGGCAGCACGTTCTCTTTAGATCGGATTAGGGCGGCTCAGGTCAACCTCGTAAATAGAGCCCTTGCCCCCACCTCCCTTTATAGTGCTGTGCGACGAGGGCCTACCAACCTTGAAGCGGTTGGGCGCCCCCCATCAGGGCGCTGATCAAGGGCCCAATTGGCCGAGATCAAACTAACATAAGGGTCTTTCTACACCGACCCGCTTGAGGATTTTCGGTCCAGTCTTTGTGTCGCTGCCATCACACGCCAGACTGCAGGGTGGGGGGTGTTGAGTATACATGTATTGTAGACTTGTGTAACTGCTCGCCACGGTAAGCGCGGTCACCACGTGCCCTGTACTCGTGCACGACGTGCACCGGTTGTAGATTGACTCGGTTGCCAAAGGCAACCTCTTGAGATGTACACTACATATACACTATGAGATCAATACAGTAAGGTGTTGACTCCCATTATCATTCTCTACAGAGGTGTAGAGCAACGGATGTACTCGTATGCGTAGTGCGTCCACGCCGCCGCTGCATGCCTGTATGCCAGGCGCCCTCCCATCGTTCCATCCCATGCACAAGCAAACGGAGCTGTCTTGGACTACCCTTCTCAGATTCCCCTTTCCACTTCCACGAAATTCCAAATTTATCAAGCATGTTTAAATTAAATTACTTATTACAGTATTTCAGATGAGTTAACCACTGTACCTCAACACTAAACGAACCCCGATTTGTTTCGCCAATTCGCCAAAACGTACGCCATTCTGCTCGGCTCAAATCTGGAGTAGTACGAGTAATCATGACCTTATAGGTGAAGCATTTGTGTTTACGGTCCTGCCTGCTTCAAGGATTAGTAGTGATTTTGCTCCCATTTTTTGAATCCGGTGTACAGCTACTGGTGAGTGCAGGAGAGTGTAGGTTGAGTTGCTAACTTGCTAGGACTAGGAGTCCATTTAAACGAGACAGTAGAGTGATATATTGACTTCTTATCGTGTTAGGCATAATAGTCCACTCGGACAACACGTGATAGTGACGCCTTAGTTCCTATCATGTTAGGGTTATTAATTCACTCTGACGAGACATGAGAGTGATTAGATCATGTTAGGCCTATCAGTCCACTTGAACTACATGTAAGGTGATCGGTTCACTTCCTTTCATGTTAGGCCTATCAATCGACTTAGAGGAGATGTGAGAGTGTCGGTTGAGTTTTGTATCATTTTAGGACTACGAGTCCACTCAGACTACACGTAAGAGTGATCTGTTCAATCTTCTTATTAGTACATTTGAATATTCAAAAGCGAGACCTAAACATTGTACTACAAGATCCAAAATTTAGAATTGCACTTAGAACATAGGACCCTTCTACTAGAGTACTAAGCACATCGTGAACTTCTACTATGCATTATATTAACTTTGTACACCTAGTTCTGAAACTTTGTAATTCAAAAATTTATACTAGTGCATTTCAAACTTTGCACTGATAAATACAAAACTTTATAATCACATATTAAAACTCAATAAATCAACTAGTCGGGCCATGCTCATGCACCATGTGTGCCATGCCAGGGACCTGAGCGTATTCACACAAAAAAAAATAGTTTGCCACGCAAAAATAAATATTTTTTAATCCAATTTATTGTTCCCTATTTGTCCTATTTTACAAAATAAAAATAATATATATATTTCATATATTACGTAGAGGTAATACATGATCAACCATCCAAATCTAATTAAGTGGACGGCTCCAGTCATTTTGATGTACCTTAGCAAAGGCCAAATATAAATGTCCCATTCGCTTGGCTGATAAGCCATAGCTGAAAGTACTGTTGGCCGATTTGTTGTGAGAGAAAAATATTGTTCGTTGGCTGAAAAAGTATGGTTTATAAGCCAACCGAACATGACGAAAAAGCATAGTTATTGTTATGTTCCAACTATTTATCCCTAGTTAAAATTTCTGAAAGAAAGTAAGCAATACCATTTTTTTTTGAAGCAATACCATTTCATTTATTAATACTATAGATAGGCATTTTACTTGGTTTTCATATTCGTGCGCATTGTGTGGTGCAGATAAACATTGCTGAACAGAGTGGTGCGTACTTGTTTATCCATTTATTATCACCGCTAATAAAAATCGCTGAACAGAGTGCGCAAACAGGAAGAGTAAAGTAATAAATAAAAACAGACAGAAAGAGTGATGCGACTCGGTTGGTGTGTGGTGGCCCTGCAAAAAAATATCTTCGTCTCAGGTCAAGTCGCCGCAACCACTCTACATGTGTGGTTGGTGTTTCGGTACTTATCAGGAGCAACATATCCCAATTGTTTTCCAGGATCTATCCCAGGATCCCATTTGCCATTATCGATGCGGTCAGGCCTACTCCTGTCTCTTGAAGCCTGATGAAGTTCTTCTCCAGGTTAGTCGTAATCTTGTCCTCCAGGGATCCTGTCCTCTGTATGTGGTTCCAGCAGCCTGCTTCTAGTTAAGAGCGCTTTGACCTTGGAGCAACACTCTTCATGCTTTTGGAAGTCAATGCTCTCTATATTTCTGTCCTGCCGAGATCCAAAAGTCACCACCTTTCTTAGCTTTCTAGATCAAACCACTAAATTACTCCATGCATACAAACTTATATTTCAGATTCACGCTAGAGTCGAGTACTCCCTGCGTCCCATAATAATAATCATATTTTATATATAGAAAAGTTAAGTTTTACGAATTTTGACCAACAATTAATCAAATTATATACAAGTTTATATAGGACATAAAACTTGAACCATATTTTTTTTTTGAAGTGTTTCAAATATGAAATTGATTCATTAGCAATTGAAAACAAATTGTAAAAGAAATCGAAGGTCAAATCTGTGTATGACTTTTTCCTAATCAAAATAGGGTTACCATTTCCGAATGGAGGAAGTACTAAACTTGCAAAGTTTATTAAAGATTAGTCCTTGGTACTCACTGTACTGAGAAGTTCATTCAATACAACATAAGTTCACACTAGGTTCTAAAGCATAGGCAAGCCAAATGTGGTGACTTGGAAAGAAAAGTGATGCATCTCCTAGCCTATACACTCTTCACGTAAATTATTTCTCAGGGGCTGAATGCATGCAAATATAACATTTGGCAATTTGGCTATTTTTGGGTATCAACATGCTCACACTATTTATTTTGTCTTCTGTTGTACAGTATTGTTGTTTGGCACAAATATTTCATTCACATATAAACAACCATCCTACTTGTTGAAGCACTATATCTACTTTGTGGAAGACAAGCAGATGTTTCCTATTATGTGAACTGTTTGTGTCATAAGAGATTTTTTTTATAAAAGAATGGACGATTATAAGTGTAGCAATGATGATATGCTGGAGCGCATATTACAAGATCCTGATTCAATGCCAAGAGTTATGCAATTAGAATATTTGAAGATGATCACAGATAATTTCTCCGATGAGCGATTACTCGGTGAAGGTGGGTTTGGTAAGGTTTATGAGGTAAGATTAAATGATGATGTCTTTCCCTCCTCACATATTTATGTAATCAACCTTATTTTTATTTATCCAGAAATCCGTATCCATGCATGTTAATATTTGAGTGTAAACAGGGAAAGCTTCAAAATGGAAAAATTATTGCCGTGAAGAAGTTTAACTTTAAACGGTTAACAAATCCAGATGTTCAGGAGAAGCTGTTTATGAATGAGGTGGTTCCACTTATGAGTCTCAGGCACCCCAATATAGTACGATGTGTAGGATATTGTTCCGAAAAAAGCAGCAAAATTGTAAAGCACAATGGAATTTTTGTTCTTGCGGAATCGCAGCCGGAGATGTTACTTTGCTTGGAGTATTTGACAATGGGCAGCCTCGACAAACATCTTAAAGGTATGGCAATAGTCTCTCTTCTTGTTTCAACTATTGGGATTTCAATTATGTGGTTTGTGAGCATCTCCACTACAGCAATACCACATTTTATCAACAAATATCATTAACTATTGAGAGAGAAAAAACAAGACTTGAGCAAAAACTAGGTGTCGGTACGGAAAGTGACCAACACGTAAATATTTGTAGTTTTGTCGTACGTTGTGATTGGATATGGCCTAGCACTCAATGACACAGGGTTTATACTAGTTCAGGCAACGTGCCCTACGTCCAGTTTCAGTCGGTCGGTGACTTTATTCCTGAGCCTAGGTGCTCGAAGTTTGCTGTGGGGTTACAAACGAGTGGGAATAAGATGGAGGTGTTAGAGGTCCGGTCAGACTCTGAACCGAAGGGCCAAGAGTGACGGGAGCTCCAACGTGTGCTAAGTATTGGAACGTATGCTTTGTGTGGCTTTAGAGTTCTAGAGCCTAGGAGAGAGAGTCGGAATGAACCGTCGTCTGTTTGGAGAGAGTGTATCCCCTTTTATAGGTGAATGAGATGGCCTTACAAGCGAGAGAGAGTGTGTGAGAGAAAGAGAGTGGTCTTGTCGCCCACGCCGTCGGGTACAAGACCGTTTGTCGGCGCCCACAATACTGTTGACGCCCAGATATATGTGGTGGGCTCCATCGTGTTCTTCTGGTATGGCAAATATCGGCGCCTACCATGCTGTAGGACAAATGTCGGCGCCCACAACACTGTTCGTGTTCTGACTTGTCTGAAAGGTTGCAAAGCACCCTTCTGACATGGTCTGGCGGTACTGTCCTGCATGTGTGCTGGGTACAGTGCAGGGTACGATCCTCGGTATTGCGGTTGACTTGAGCGCCTTGCCTTATCTGCTCCGCCTGATCCTTGAGTCCTTACCGAGTGGGTGTCCCCGGTCGGTCGTTCCCAGTCGGCTCTGACCGCGTCGGTCGGAGAAGAGCCGTAAGCAGAGGTTCGGTGTATTCCCGGTCGGAGAAGCGGGTCGAAGTCGGAAGCGAGCGTCGTCCCCTTCTTGACCAGGACTTCCGGTCGGAGACTGGATCGCTCTTCTGGCCTGTCGTTAGGTATCTGGGCCGGCCCAGGAGTTGCGTGTCATCTGTAATGTGTCTGCTGGGCCGAGCTTTTGCTGGGAAGCGGGCCCATTAGGGACTCCAGGTTTATGAACCCGACAGGAGCCCTCGAGCCCCCGGGCGATTCGGGTAGAATCGTCTGGGGGATTTTTCGCTTTGCCAGCGGGTGCGCGCGAGCGCACCCAGTGGGTGTAGCCCCCGAGCCTGCGTCCGACTGGTGAGTCGGTTGGAGGCTGAGTATCTTGGTACTCTTTCCTAGGGCCGCAGACTTCTGTGTTTCTGTCGGTTGGGGTGTTCGCCCATGTTTGTCCCGCCCGCGACCTGCGCGGTTGGTTGGTTTCCCGAGTCGGCGTCGGGCGACCCGAGCCCCCGAGCCCCATTTGGCTTGGTAGGGGCTGGTCTAGTTCCGTGCGTTACCCTGTTCGTGGTTTCCGCAATCGGAGGGGTTGAGCTAACGTCGCTTGCCTCGATGGCTCGAGTGACGCGCTCGGTGAGCTCACTAACGGACATGTCCGAGTGGAATCCGGGTCTGTCGTTCGTAACGGGGTCGGTATAGCCCTCATGTGGCATTCCACTGCTCCTTAACCCGCCTTCCGGCAGATGCCCGGGTCATTTCGGAGACCAACTCAGATAGCCCGCTGGCCTCCCCTCGATGGAGATTTTGTGGGCATGGCTCGTGGTTAGGATCGAACGAGAAGGTCGAGATGACCCTGTTTGCTTCTGAGCAGATCGAGCAAGGGCCGTTGGGGCCCATCTGTGTGTTCTCCCCTGGCTCTGTTTGACACGAGGCGGCCTCGAGCCCTTCGCGGGCCGGCCTTCAAACCCCGATCGGTCGTTGCTCATGTTGAATGAGGCAACTACCGCTTCGTGACGCAACACGAGGCGTTGTGATGCATTAATTTGCATATGCAATGCTTTGGATATATGGGATGAATGAATGAATGTATGAATGAATGTGTGAATGCGTGTATGAGAAAGGATGAATGAATGATCATGCATAAGAAAAATAAAGTAAGAAGGTTTGGTAAAGTTACCTTGATGACTCGAGTGACAGGTTTGAGGAGCTCTTATCGGATATGTCCGAATGGGATCCATATTCGTCATTCGTGACTGAGTCGACATTGCCCTCATGGGGCATCCCTCTGCTCCTTACCTGTCTCTCGGCATTCGCCTAAGCCGTTTGATTGACTCAGGAAGCCCGTTGGTCTCTCCTTTGATGGAGATCCTGTTTGTTGGGCCCTTCCAAGTCCTGCCTGGGAAGACGGAGGGCTGTTTGCGTGCGGTTGCGCCTTGTTTCCTGTGCTTGGTGTGTGGTAGTGGTGGGCCATGCTCATGCCATGTCCCGTTTAAACAGGTGTCGTTTCATTGGGCAGGGCACGTCCCATCAGTCAGGACGCCTCCCACCGCATGCCTATCCGCATTAAATAGGGGAAGGGAGAGGGTTTTCGTCCCATTCCTTCGCCTTTCTCCATCTGTCGCCTCTCCTCCTCCTTCCTTCTCGCCAAGAGCGTTCGTGTGCCGTGGCAGTTCCTAGGAGAAAGACGGTAAAGCGAGGGAGAGAACTTACAGATCCATTTGTGAATCCAGAGCACGACGTCGAACTGGAGGCCATCCAACGTAGATGAGGCGGTGCTGGCCGCCTTCGCCGAGAAGGGGCTGCTCCCACCGAAGGAGGTGGCACACTAGAGGGCTCCTGCGCCGGGGGAAACTGTTCCGCGACCTCGGGCCGATGAGGTTGTCTCCTTCCTTGCCTTCCACGAGCGTGGGCTAGGATATCCCGCACACTAGTTCTTGTGCGGGCTCCTCAACGAGTGGGGCCTGGAGCTGCAGCACCTTAATCCGACTGGGGTGCTGCATGTAGTTGGTTTTGTTACCATCTGCGAGGCCTTCCTCAAGATGGATCCGCACGTGGACCTCTTCTGGTGGATCTTCACCGGGCGAGCTTTGTCGGAGGGGAAGCCACCCAGAACCACGCCGGTTGGGGGCTTCGATTTGCAGAAGAAGCCAAGGCCGTCTGGCTCCTACCCCACATACTCCCCCTGCGACTCCAATTGGGGGTGGCACGGGGAGTGGTTCTACATTAGGAACCCTACGGAGGCGCCATTCCCGCCATTCACCGGAAGAACGCCGGAGAGGCGGGAAAGCTGGTCGTGGGGTCCCTCCAGTCGGCAGAACAAACTAGAGGTCATCGAGGCGGAGCTCCACAAGCTAGTGCAGCACGGTCTCGATGGGCTATGGGTGTTCCACACCTTCTTCCGCCATCGAGTCGCCCCGCTGTTGGAGAGGAGGCGGCCGACGTGGATGTACTCCGGCCCAACGGACCCCGACCGCGCGTCGCCGAAGGAGTTAGCGAAGGACAGTCTGGAGCCGACTCGACCGGGTGCTGCAACTGAGGGATAAGAGGTTCCTTGAAGGAAAGCCCAGACCTCTCCACGTCGCAAAGCTGCCCAATCTGGTACACTCCCCTTCACTTACTCCGTGACCTTTTTTCTCTTGTTCTCCTTTGTTTTGACTTTGAGTCATCCGCTTCGTACGGACTCACCGGTTGCAAATCTCGACCGCATCTTCCGAGGGGGCCGGAGGGCGCAGCTCGGCAAGCCGCTCTGAAGGAGGCGATGGTCACCAAGAAGAAGAGAGCTGAGAAGGCTCAGAGGAGGCACGAGAAGGAGATCGCCCGACAGGTGTGGGTCGGTGAAAACCGGAGCGACATGGAGGCGGAGCTCGAGTCGGAGGAGCCCACAGAGATGGTTGGCGAGGCGAGCACCTCTGAGGATGACGGAGACAGGGGCGTCATCGCGACCTCGGTGAAGCGTCGTGCGCCTGCGGCCGTGCATGTCGGCGGTGGGCGAGATACGGAGAGGCGCGGTGATGTTCCCGTGTCAAGGAAGCATGCCGTGAGCTCGGACGCCGTCGTCGAGCGAGAGGCGAAGCGGGCGCTGTCGTCGTGCCCTTCGGAGGCATCGCTGGCTTCGCCCCCCTGCTCCAAGCGTGGCGGGGCACGCCAGCCAGTCAGAGGAGCATACCCGTACCCCCGCATCTTTGGGATTGGTGCGTGCGCACAACCCACAACGGGGAGATGCCCCGTCGGTTGCCCTGGCGGGTCGCAGCGACTCGCGGGCCAATCGGGAACCGGCCGGGTCGGCACCTCCCTCAGTCGATGTGAGGGGGCGTGGGTCGTGACCCGTGAGCGGTCCTCGTCCGGTTGGCTTGTCACCAGCGGGTTGGGGCTTCAGGTCCCTGCCGCTTTCGTCTAGGTATTCATCTATGTTCTTTTTGATCTCACAGTTGAGTTCTTTTAGCGCGACTGGCCTGTACTCTTTTGACTGCACCCGGGTACTGACGGGACTGAGCATCGCCCCACCTCCAGTGCAGGAGGAGTGGAGACCCAGTCTGCAGCGAGTCGCGATGAGCGGTGGGGAAAGCAGACTGGCAGCGGTGCGACCTTCCCTTCCAAGGGTTGCGCCCTCCTGGCCGATCATGAGTACGGCGACAACGGCAGTGGTGGTGATGGCGGCGATCCCCATGACAATGGTGAAGGTTGGGTCAGAGGTGACCCTTGCGATCCCTCCCCCATCAGCTGCAGCGGAAGAGAGGAGGGATACCAGGCTCCCTGCCTCGCTCGGCGGAGGGACGCACGGCTCGCCCTCCTGGTCGGAGCTGGAGGTGTTGGGAGGTGATGCGGCCAAGCCGGAGGTAGAACATCCACCGGTGGGCTGCGGGGTCGAGGTAGTGGAGATCCCCTGCTTCGGTGAGGTAGGAGCTAGGGTGGAGCCGCCAGCCATCCCGCCGTCGCAGGAGTTGGCGGTGGTCTAGTCGTCGCACGATGTTGCGGCGGCTGGACCTTCCAGAGGGTTGGGGGCAACCCACGAGCTGGTGTGGCCCTACCCTGGCGACCCGAGGAAGGCTCAGTTCATCCTTCGCGATGAGGAGGAGGTGGCGCTCTGGCCCTTCCGGTACGAGAGAGGAATGTCAATGGAGTCCGATCTCGCCCAAACCAAGGCGAAGCTCAAGGAGGCCTT